TTATATACAGGTTGGCCTCAGAAGGGCAAAGAATAGGGTTTCCAAGGAGCAGCTGGTGAGCTTGAACCGCCAACCTTGCAGTTCAAACGGCTTTGCAGTCTGGCGCATTAACCCACAGCGCCACCTGTAGTACTACCTTTTTGCTCCTTAGAAGCTAGGATAGTGAGACGAAGTCTCACATACTCTGGACATGTTACTAGGAGGGATGAGTCCCTGGAGAACGACATCATGCTTGGTGGTGGTAGTAGTGGTGGTGATGGTGGTGTATGCCGTGGATTTGTTTCCAATTCATAGTGAACCTGTACAGGGTTTCTGAGGCTGTCAATCTTTACAGGAGCAGAAAGCTTCATCTTTCTCCCACGAAACAGCTGATAGTTTCAAACTGCTGACCTTGAGGTTAGCAGCCCGACTCATGCCCACTACGCTACCAGAGCTCCTTTATTAAAGTGGAGGGTCAGTGAAAATGGGGGAAGATTCCCAACAAGATGGATTGACATAGTGACTGTAACCACCGGCTGAAACAGCAACAATTAAGAGAATGGCGCAGGACTGGGCAGTGCTTTGTTTAGTTGTGTATAAGGTTGCTATGATTCGGAGTTGATGCGACATCTAACAACAGCAGTTGCCTTCTTATAGGGTTGCTGTGCGGGTGAGAAGGTGGGAGATGATGGTATTATGTCCAGGATGGAGAGAGGAGGAGGAGCTGGCAGGATGCCGAGAGCTGAAAATTTATTGCAGCCATCTAGAAAGCCATGCAAGTTCTGGCCTTTGGGATCCTTGTGTCCTACCTAACTGCTTTTTAAATGGCCCTAAGGGGGCCTGGCACTGGTGCACTGCTCACCCTTGGAAGCAGCTACACCCTGCTTTATGACCCTCTGAACGCCTTGAGTTAAAGATCTTCAATGAGGCAGGAGTTGGTGGACATCACTTAAGGGACTGCAGCCACCCTCTTTGGGACCTTAGCAGACCCTCCAAGGGGTTCTGGAGTAGCACTTCCTTAGGACCCCAGCTCTGTGTCTCCCCTTAGGTGGGGAGTGAGAACCGTGTGCTCCAGGCTCGGCCTGATTTCACTCTCTTGCCTAATGAAGCGCTCGGACTGCATCTCAGCAGAAGCAAGGACTGACATAGGCCTAATTGCCCAGCTCACTGTAGCCAAGAAAAAGAAATCTTGCCTCTTAACGCTGTCAGAGCTGGGTGGGGGAGGGGACTCTAATCCCTTCCCCTGCTCTTCCTTAATGCTGCAGTACACCTCAGACCTCCCCACGCCGCCCTCCCCAACATCTCCTGTGGTCAGGGTCTGAGTGATCCTGCAGCGATTTGCTTGTCCACCCTGTCCACCCAGCCTGGTCCACCCTGCACCCTGTCCCACCCACAGGCCCCTATGCTTTTCTCTGCATCAGTGACCTCATTTGGAACCTGACAAGGGTAGAACTGTGTTGCCTGAGATTTGGCCTGTAGATGGGCAGACTTGGGTAGGCACCCCTCCATCTCTGCAGGGCTGTGAGGGGCTGAAGATGTAACCGGGCTCCAGGACTGCGAAGCAGAGCAGACTACAGGGATGGTAGCTTGGAGGAATCCAAGTCAGGTAAAGCCAGCCCTCTGGAAGGGGCTGCTGCTCAGGACAGGCAAGAAAACCTAGAAACAAAGTCATACATATGCAAATGTAGTGTGCTATAAACACATGTGGAAATTTGGCAATGTGGGTTAATATGCTAGACTGCAAAGATCATTTGAACTGCAAGGTCGGTGGTTCAAGCTCACCAGCCGCTTCTCGGAAACCCTATACAGGGTCACTATGAGTCCGAACAGGGTCATATGAGTCTTAACCGACTCCATGGCACTTAACAACAATAGTCACAAAGGGGATAGGGATAGCTGAGTATCTTTTTGGTGAAAGTAAAATTAGATCTCTACCTCTTACCTCAAACCAAAATAAGCTCCAGGTGGATTAAAAGATACTTCTACTAGATGTTTTTTTTTTCCTGTTTAGAAAAATAGCACATATTTTTTAGAAAATTCAAATGATTTGGAAAGAGGTAAAGCCAAAACAATTCTAGTTGGAATGCTGTAGAGATAAGAC